AGATTCACGAAAATTAAAACTGTAATGAAAGGTTAATAAGGTAAATAGAAAAAAGTGAGCTTATTATGATAAAAACGGTGAAAAAAACATAAAGTCGACAGCAATTATAACACTACTTGGTTGGTGAGTAGTTGCTCTGTGTCGCATTAGAATTTCCCAGTTGTTTTCCTGTTTGTTAAGTTATTTCCTTTTATGTCAACCTGAGTAGTGAGATGCATTTGTTCCTAAAAGGTGATCAGATATACTTAAGGTTTCAATTCCTTCATTATACATATTACATTACTTATGAATCTAAAAATTATAAAAGCATCATGACTTGAGTTGCAATTAAGTAATCTAGCGAATATAGCTTGTTTCACAATTGTGTTTGCATATATATTTACTCCCTTGGTCAAAAAATAGTCATATACTTGACCACTGTCTCTGGTGACTAGTCCAATCCATACAAAATACAATTTTTCTCCTAACATACTTGTTCCACATCACGCCAGAAAAATGCTAGCTCAGTTTCGGCTTGTGGTGCGGTTGTTGCTGTTTGGCTAATGAAGGCCAAATAAGCAGCAAGATAAGTCCTTGGGAGTGATAATATAGAGCATTCTTTTAGTTATCTTTTGAGTTGAAATGAATATAAATCGTCTTTTTGTTGATCTCAACTGATTACTAACTGCATTTTGGATTCATAGTTAACTGTCCATCACTATTTTCCAGTGACCATTGTATTTTAACCACTTTTGTACAATGAGGAAATCTTCATTGAAGCTATAGTCTGAATATTCACTTTTTATCTATTGTATAGTAGTTTCATAAATGTTTCTTGATTTCGCCAAAAATAACAGGAATCCACTTACAATGTATTTCGTACGGCTATTTGAAAAAAACACTTCAGAAATTTATTTGATTTACATGGAAGCACTTAGATATCTTAGCCTTCTGTCACATTGTGAGTGACCAGCCCAAGTTGAGATTTGACCAGTTCTAAATCATTTTAATTCTAGGTGAATAACAGTAACTATATGGGAATTTATATTTGCCAAACAATCAACAAGTAATTTATATTACCATAACTTTCTTAGAGTATATAGTCGTAGTAAATGATATGTCGGTTGCAGGGCATGCACAAAAAGAATATATTATTCTCACGCCTGGAAAACACTTTATCCAGCAGCATACTTAGGTGTTTATCGTTGTGTTTGTCCAAGAATGTATGTGCAGAAACTTAGATCAATGAACTTTAGATTACTGTTCCATCATTTGGTGAGATAGAGCGTTTCTATTCTAAAGGAACAATAGCGTTTAGCCATTAAACTTAGAAATCATCAAACAAGAGCTGGTATCAGAATGACAGTGAGAGACGTCTGCGATTTTATGAACAGGTATCTTTGCGAGAAAACAATTAAAAACAGAGGACATTGTGAAAATTTTTTAACATCCTGATTTGCTCTAATTTGAGCAAACAGATTTTTTAGTGTTTTTATTTAGTCACCGATGGAAATGTTTCAAATGACTACCATATGGAATAATTTAATATGTATTGTGTCTTAGAACATAATGGTTATATATCTTTAGCAGATAGTGGACAAAAGACAGACGAGGTTCAAAAGGCTTCATATTGCTATACATAGAACAATAGACCGAATAGCAGCTCAAGGGTTCCCCAAGTCTGGTTATTTGTCTATTTGGTAAGCCAGTTACATCAGTCCAGAAATTCTGAAGTTGTCGTCGGTTATTGAATTTAGCTTCTTTACAATGCCAAGATTGTGTGACACTACAACAGGAACTACTTCCGAATATACCTTTGTTAAGTCGGCTGAGAAGTCAGGTTTCTGTAACTTACTTTATACAGTACTGCTAGGAAGTTGACTAATATATTAGTTCGCCGTCTATTCAGTCCTCATTTCTAAACAAAATGAATCGGTGGCATCGTCACTCGCGTTAGTTGCTTGAGGGTTAAATCCTTAATCATATTTACCCAACGATTTTTTAAGAAATTTATAGTAAATTGATTCTGTCTGGAATAAAGAAGTGATTTCGATCCATCCAGTGTTATTGACATTATTCAAGTGTTAAAATCGTCAACATTTGGTTGAGACTATCTTTTGATTATGTCGGAGTAATAATGAGTCTGATAACTTATTCAATATATACGCTAAAAGAAACTACAGTCCACGTGATATTCCAAGGTTTTACCCAAACTCCTAATCAAAACGTCAGGAAAACAATGTGTTTGTCTCACCAGTTTTTACTATTCAAAATTCAAAACTTATGTGATTCTATACATAAGATACGGGATCATGACTAACATAAATAACAAGTTTCAATCTGTAAAAATCTAGGACAATTACGGTACGAAGCTGAACTATAGGATAACAGTTAGGTTATTGTAATTTATGAGCGGTAGCCAAACTTGCAGTTAGGTTAGCATTGAATTACAATAGATTAATGATTTCATTAATATATATATATATATATACATATATATATACCGATTCACTGAACAACAGTTTTCAAAGTTTCCCGTTTATTCGGCCATTTGTAACATACACAATGTATAAAGCGACTGAAGGGTTTAATTACTATAAAAACCTAGTGAATAACACTATTCCTTACAAGAAAAATGAAAATTTGGCATGAGTCTCGCCTAGGCGACGAATTCAAACCTGTACTTGATAAATATAGGTAGTGCACCGACAAAATGACACACCCAGATCGAAATTAATCCAGTATGATGGTAGTTGGAAGTAGTTAACAAGAAACCCTGGACCTAGGTTTCGTGCTACGTAGCACTCGTCAGCAAGGTGGACCTGTAATCTTGAGGGAATTGATACTCCTTGACAGACTCGACCACGTGTCACCCAGTCAGAGACGTTACCGCTGAGCTAGCCCCGCCACGGCTGACCTCCTGTAAGACTGAGGTGTATTTACAATTGAATTAGACCAATCTACAAAACCCTGAGGCATATACAAATAGCTTTCAGAAATTTATATCGGTTTGTAAATTTTTACATTTAGTCGGCTATCTGTATCCAATTGCCTCGACCTGTCATGATTTTCAATCACAAACCGAATGAACGTCCGGAACTATCTTATTCAAATAAAGTGGATATAGTTTAGTTTTCATGTACTAGTATCCCGAATGTTAGAGGTTTTTGAGTCATTAAAAAGAAATACTACTTATGAGGTTGGGATCGAACTTTTCTATCTTCGTTATGAACTATTAGTCTTTCATCAAGGTTAATAAAAATAACTGTAACGATTCTCTCAACTTTGTGCTTACCGACATGTAGAAAATCATAGAGAGTAGATTAGCAATGTATGTTATTCCGTATAAAAACCAGAAAGTGCTAATGATACCGAATTTGATTACTGCAGTGTCTCTACCCATCAACATCAGTAACAAACTGTTATTCCAGAGAATATTTTATTCTCAGTACATGGAGCGACTACACCGTTTTCATTCAGCAACAAATCTCTTTGATTTGACGAGTCAGTAAGGTCGAGTCAAACCTGACTTAGTAAACACCTCGATTATTAAGTTATCAACACGCAGGCAGGTTTTCAGAATACTATAATGGTTATAATCATGTCAGCTCACTAACCAGCCCGTTTATTTTTTGGGAGCTTTTTCTACAGGACTTCTGAAACAGGTACATTGAGATACTTCTTACGAAGAATCTCTCCAGGCTGTTTTGTTAGATGAGTTGGCTTTCACAGGCCAAAGAGACACTGTGGGAGAGGGGCTACTGGAATACGTAGACTCTACAGTTCCGACAGAATAGCTTGGACAGGTGGTGAAATTATGACTAGCACAATACCTAACTTGCGAACTATTTCACTAATAAGAGGCTTTCAGTAACTATTGACTCGAAATAAGTGAAACAACTAGGAATTAGAACGCAAAAGCCCTTGTCATTTTGGCTACAGTTTAGGTAATGGGTTTCGCAGTTCATGCAAAATTGCTGGTATTCTACATGCTGTTGATATGAACAAAATGATGTATGCCTATGTAGAATTACAGGAACCAAGTACTTATGCATAAGAATTCATTTAAAATCGACTGAATTAATGGATGTAAATCAAGATCAGTTTCCTATTAGTGTAACAGTACACAGAGATTGCTTGCATCAATCCATTTAGAACTGAAATGTTAGCTTATATACTTACGAGACGAAGTTTGAAACAAATACTTCCGGAGAATTAGGTCTTCAACATACGTACATCATTAGGGAACGTAACAACGATGTCCGCTCAGATAGTGAACTGATGGCAATGTTACGAATACTGACGAACTCATGACAAGTTATAGTTTGCGAGGAAACCAATACTTAGTAATGAAATAATTTTGGATGTGTGAACTACAGGGTAGGACAAAGGAAGGTCAACACCACGCAGTAAACAGCTCATTGAGAGTAAAAACGATTTGATCAGCTTCATAAAATAAGTGAAGTCCGGGGTAGTACAACTGCCAAGTGGAAATTAATACCTCATCTCGACGGGTTTGCGAAATCAGTCTTGTCTGACTCATTTACGGCAGGGCTGCTAACCATGAAACATAACTGTTTCACCCCACTATAATATAGACGTAAGATAATGTAAGGGAACCACTACTATCTACCTTAGTAGAAATCTAGTAAGCAAGATTAAATGAATCTAACCACTTCTGAAAGGGCAGAAAAGTAATAAACTTATAGGGAGCCATCGTTTTTCTGACATATTATAAGCATGCTATATTTAATGACATGTTCATAACTTTAATTGACTCTACAGCTAACTGAGACTTGGTATACTAGATTGAGGGGCGATTTAAACTTATTTATTTTAGGTTGAAATTACAGTAAGGAACGCGAGAACATTAGCAAGGCGACATACTAGAACCAAGAAGACAAAATATAAAACGAAGATGTGTTACCCGTTAAGTTGGTACTACACTTATTCAGGATTTCTCAAACGCAACTAAGTTTTAATACCTCTACTACTAATAAGTCGGCAATCAAAACAGAAGTGACCCAACTATAATTTATTTAAAGACAATTATTCTGCTGCAGCTGCTCGACGTGCTTTCAGACGTTTTCCGTAGAGCCGAGCGTTAGCTCTATGTTGACGGATGGCATGGAAAGCGCTGTACCTTAGTTCAGACGATGTTGGTTCATGAGCCTTCAAACGTTTTGTTCTTTGAGTTATAGGGAGCACCGGTCGGCGGAGCTGTGTGGCCTTTTTGATATCGTCGGCCTGAAACAGAAATATAAGAAATGAGACCAAAATACATTGTTATACAGACACAACCCAGGGTTATGAGGTATTCCAACATGTACATGAGTCAACACTCATTAGACAACTTTGATGCCATTAGTTTGAGTAGTGCGACTAGCAAAACGACACAAGAGGCTCATCACAGTAAGTCATCATAACGCCACCCCTCATACCGTATTTTATAAAGAAAACCAAGATATGGGAAACCTGTAGTGAGAACCTCATTACTATGGTAACAAAAGGTGAGTGATACAGTAGACTGGCAGTTATTTGAAATGACTTTTGTTACTACTATGCGGAGCTCAAATCATCAAGAATAAATGGGCATCGGAATGACTAAAATATAGACGTCTGAATACTGTGTGGGAAACACAACTCACAACTGCCTGAAGGTATGTGGTTCTAATGACAAGTACAAAACTATATTCCCGACTTGGAACCTTTGGTTATATAATGAATTGCAAGCTCAAAATACCAGACTGAATCGATGGTTACTAAAACCTATCGTAAATAGGCGATAAACATAACCACTATTATTTTTTCATCATAAAAAGTCTAACGGTAGCCACAAGAGAATAAAATTACAAGAACTGGCAAACAGTCATTGACACTAACTTTTTACATACGGCAAGAATTATTTGGTGTAGAAACCCAAGTGAAATATCCACACTTGGTGAACATTTACTAGTAACCAGAGAATTATACCTAAAGGGAATATGGTTGTTATTGGTTGCTTCTTTGACACTAACGATGGATGACTAGTTTATTGTTGAATACAGAAGATCAACGGACAGAGTAGCAGATGGAGGGCAGACACAATTTAGATCCCAGGTCTTTAATGTGCTCATGTTGGATTTACATGACTTTAAAACAACTGCATAAATATTATATCACAAGCACTTCAGTTACGGAATCAAAATAGGACAAAATCAAGTCAACAAACCTTTGCATCCATGGCTTGAGGCTTTGCTGGATTTAGAGGGAACAATATGAGTTTAGCTTTGTATGCTTTAAGCCTGGCAACATTCCTTTGTAATCCTTCGACAGAAACGTTTCGTCGACGGTGATCAACGGCTATCCCAATAGTGCGGGCAAATTTGGGATTCAGACCGGCTGCGCGCACTTCTTGTAATGAAAATCCACGCCCTGATCTTACTTTCATATTATAACGGAATGTAGGACAGTTGACAATGGGTCGAAGTGGACCAGAAGCTGGCCTCGGTGCGATTCGTTGAGCTTTAGCTTTTCTAGCCTGTCGTCTGCGTTCTTTGCGTGCTGGTTGGTTGAACCATGTTTTCACCATAAATTGCCATTTTTTTCTGAAGTGGTTGTGATGTAGAACATCGTTGCCGTGAACCATCGCTTAAGTATCAAAAACGTTAACCCACGAGGAAAGAGGCCCGTTCACTGTACCGCCAACCTGCTTTGATTATTCAAACAAACCCGAATAATAAAATGAAATGTGTGGGGTGTCTGTTGTGTTTCACAGGCGTAATTATACTGTGGGAATACAAGTGTAGACAAATTTAGCTCAACTTTCATAGCAGAGGGTCGAAAAGATGGAGTAAGATATTTTAGTACTGACGGCTCGATTTTGAAAGATGACAACAGTGTAGATCACCATCAAGTTCAAGATAAATGGCTATTCGCAGCAATAGTATTGATGAATTTTATAGACAGACTTTGGTTTGTTTTTCCGATATCAGTACTAGAATCAATTTCAGTGGATTTGGAACCAGCTAGAGCTGGATTCACTGGTATAAGTCGAATGTTATTTCAGTCATTGTAGCTGAGTGTATATCGATCCACAGTGAGCTACATATGCCTTTAACCACAAGATTCTACAAAAATACTTTTCGATAGATACAGGTAACTGTGATTTTAGATTGAGTTAAGATGTTTTCGAGGTTATTGAATATATGGTTTGAGGTAGTGACAAAATCACTATCAATCTTCTCAACCATATTAGGGATAGTTCGAGCTTTTAATGTCGTAGGTAGTGAGATTTGTTAATAAAGCCCAAAACTATTTCACTTAGGGTTTTACTTACTTATCCCACATCATTTTTCAGTGGAAGTTTTACAGTGTTCTATGTCTTGTAAATTTCATAGGTTATGAAGACCAGCTTAGTGATTTGAATATTTGGCCATATTATGATAAAATAAGCATTATTTAGAATTCAGCATCGGACAGTGATGTTAGATTTTGAGTCTGTTTTTCTGGCATCAAATCAGTTGTCATTTGGACAGCATTAGTCCTTACATTTGCTGGTAGCGTGTTTGGTTTTCCAATGTGCTTGGTTTACGTACGCCTCGGTGTTAGGCTTCGAAGGTAATAAAACCCCTCTGATGCACAGGTTCTCCATTGATCGTAAATATATAAAAACATCTCGCTCTCGCTTGGAGATTTTTACAGTGGTCTGAGAAGTGTGCATTTACTAACGTGATATTTTGACGGTTTATATATAGATTATAAACAGTTTCTTAGGTTTTTGGACCGATTCTGCTTTTAAATTGGACATATCTGACAGGATATCTTTTCACCAACACCTTTTGTTGTTGTGCAGAAGTCAACCAAAAACGTTTCATGGAGTGGAGTTTTTACTAGACCCATTTAATAGCTGAGAGTCACTAGGTTTACTTGGAAGGCTATGGCGTTAGTGTCAAGTCCTTCCCTTGTTTGTTGATCAGCTTTGATGTATCATAACAGGGAAGGTTACTGTTCCATGTAGTAGTCATGTAGTCTTTGTGGTTTACTTATGTCATTTCAGTTTTTTTAGTTTTGTCTTCTGATGATCAGGTGATTTTCAATCTTACATTACGTGGGATTACTTGAAAGTCACACAACCTTGCTAGAATAAAATATCCCAAGCATCAGCAAGTTGAATCATTATCATCAGCCACTTAAACCTATCAAGTTTTGATTCTTGACGATCTAACTGTCTATACTTAATCAAACTACGAAATTCAAACACACCATAACTAATATTTGGATGGATTTATCTTCCAACTTATCTTTTAGGAGAGCACAATGATTTATTATTGGAGGGCTTCAATTTGGACTTTTTATATCAGGAACTTGAAAAGTGGAATTAATATGTTGCTAATCCAAATAACGGTAGGCTTCGACCAACCGTGGCTAAATGCCCAGGCAAGAACCCGACAATGCTGGTGAGAGACCTAAATACCGAAGTCGGGATGAGTTATATCGAGTATTAAAATCTCATGAGACGACATGGATTGGGAGAAAGGAAGGAAAATGGCGAGAGATTTGCAAATATATGTACATTCAGCAAAATGGTTATAGGCGCCGTTATATTCTCCAACAAACATATAAACAAAGCTACACGGATCACACCATGGAGAACCAGACCGATTACATTTGCATTACTAAATGTTCAGAGGGTCACTGGAAGGAGTGAGAATCAGGAGAGGAGCTGATATTAGCTTCAGATAACCATTTGACGGTTTCCAAAATGAGACTGAATGTAAAGGAACACTGGACAGCTGGGAAAACAGGTTTGCAAAGGTTCAATACAGTAATCCTTCGATATAATGACAAACTCGAAGAATTCGAGATAACAGTCAACAGGTTCCAAACCCTACGAGATCTACCAAAAGAAGAAACTACTATGGAGGACAACTGGAAAGGGACGGGAGAAGCACTAACTTCAGTGTGTCAGAAAGCGCTGGCCCGCAACAAGCACCATCATTAGGAGTGGACCATTATCGAAGCCCTGCGCGAGGTTCAAGAAAGGGAGAACAAGGAGACAGCAGTTAACAATGGTCGAACAAGAGCAGAGGAAGTAAAGGCACAAACTGAATACATACAAGCGAACAAACAGTTGAAGAAGAGCATTAGGGCCGACAAGCAGAAACACGTCGAAGAGCTAGCAAAGACAAAGGAAAAAGCTGCAAGAGAAGGAAATATGAAGCAACCATATGACACGACGAAGGAACTAGCAGGGAAATACGGTAAGCCAGAAAAACTGATCAAGTGCAAAGAAGGCAAGAAAATCACCGAGATTCAAGAACAGAGGAACGATTGGATGGAACGATTTGAATAACTCTTGAATAGACCAGTCCCATTGAACCCACCGGACATCAAAGCAGCGCACACAGGCCTTCCTATATATGTCACTCCACCAACAACAAATAAGCGGATCTCAACAAGTGTGAGAAGTACAGAGACATTACGATACTATCAGTGCTCAACAGTGTTTCAGTTAAAGCCCATCTTCGAAATCAATAATTTGCGTCCCGTAAGGATTAATCGTGCACAGACTGAGTGGTGACACTATGGATCATCGTTGGACAATCAATTGAATAGAAGTCATCGCTATACAACAACTACTTTGACTACGGGAAAACATTTGACAGCGTAGATAGGAGGACACTATGAAATCTTCTTTGACACAACAGTGTAGCAGGATTCCCAAAACCTTTTACATATAATCTTCAACAAATAAACCTAGGGAGATGTACCACTGAAATTCGGAAATGTGATGGTTATTTTTCCCCCGATGAAATGAAAAACATTTATTAAGGCCAAGGTGAAATACATAAAGGGGCTATTGCTTGGACTACACCAATCTTTGAGTGTACAAATAGCTCAGCTACCGTCGTCCTAATGAACCTGATCATGGAATCAGAAGACTAATTGATAACCGGCACATTTTTGAGACAAAACAAGCTGGCGAAATGGTTACCGAAACGGATTATCTAACTTCAAAGTTGACAAATACTCGTCAGTACCAGAATAATGAACAAAGTTGCCAGCAATCCAAGATGTATTTTAGCCTGCAGCAATACAATTAATGGGCTATTAGTGTATTTCTAACTCTCATTTTTCAACGCTGTTAGCTAATGTATTCGTATTCAGTCACGGTGAAGGTGTTAGTATTGTCCACAACCGATCGAGTTTCTGGTTAAACGCCCACCACTCCAACCTGATTTGATGTGTCTGTAGACCATCCCTGTTGCCTGTGACCCGCCAACTAGGGACCTCATTATCCTACGATATTAGTGCGGTTGCGACTCATATTTTCTACTAATCATTTCGAAAAGGCATGCAGTATAGTCGGTTGGTTTGTGCGTTTTACTCAATGACTACAATTTCTGTAGTTATTGTAGTAATCGGACTGTTTTTACATTTAGAAACGGATGAAGTTTAAATGCAAGTTGCCTTTGTTCTGACCATAACTTTTACATAGGCTACAGATCATCAGTAAGGTGTTTACAGTTCCTAAAGAATATATGTAGCAAATTAAATCCCGCAGAAGGTAGGATACCCAAATGAGCGGAATTACAAAACGATGGATCAATGACCAGCAATGCCGAAACTGGAAGTTCTTTGAGTCTATGTAGATGTACAGAGTCCGGTAGTTTCTCAAAGCATGAAATAAAAAATAAGGCGAGACTCCAATTTATGAACGAGCCAGTCGGAAGCTTTTGGGGGATTTCAAGGCCACGGCGTCGACTTCAGTATCTGATGCTCATGTACGATCGGTTCACAGTGGATTTTAGAGAAGAGGTGATTACTGAGTGATCTCAGCATATGAGACTACTAAGAAGTTCCTATATTTGTGACTTAGGTAAGCAAGTGACTGTAGTACCATGTTCAGACCATCGTGGCGATACTGTCTTTCGATGTTCTGTATGCTGGGGAAAGAAGTCTGCAATACTTTCTTCTTTCGATCGCGATTAAGACTGAGACAAATCATGATAATTGTCGGAGATTGGATGGCGAAAGCGCCAGTAACATCGGCTGCAGCATTTGCGGACGTTACTGAGACTTCAGCTGCACAACGGTGTGAGTATTGCCGGGACATGTGTGCAAATAAAATGACGCGCTGACACGAGTCGTACGGAGGAGTTGGGAATATTGTTGAAATTGATGAAACAGTAGTACGGTGCGGAAATATAACAGAGGACGTAATATTAAGGAAGACTGAGTATGTGGCACTTCCGTAAACAGACCTGACAGGCACTTGAAATTTATGATCGATCAACGCAAAAAGGACATTTTCAGAGGGTCAGAAACCGGCAAGCAAGCAAGTATAAATTATACAGGAATATGTGCAGCCGGGCACTACGATATATACGGATGATTGGAGAGGGTATAGATGTCTACATAGACTTGGGTATGTGCATCATGTCGTAGTGCACAAGCGCCATTGCGTCGACCCTACAACCGGAGTTCATACAAATAATGTTGAAGCCATATGGTCCAGACTGAAGGAGTTTTTAAGACAGTACCATGGCTCCAGAGGTCAACTATTATGATTTTAAAACCCCTCAACCTCCACCAAATTCTAATAAGTTTTTGAATCACGTAAAAAAGAATATTCACTCTAATTCTTTAGTTTTTTTAAACATATTTTTACTTTATACTAACTGTTCTCTGATCGGCTAAAAATTGTCGAGGTCACTTAAGATTTGTTCAAAGGGTTTCGCTAAAAATGA